GACTTGGTATTAGGATAACATGAAAATATAACTTTCTACCTCTGCCACAATGAATGTATACTGAAGTCATTGTATCTGGGAGACATGAAACGCTGAAGGGGACTTAGTAAGTTTTGTGCTTTAACTGGGACATCTAAAACAGCAAACGGAGGTTAGTTTTTGTATCAGGAAAACATATTAATTTATCTCAATCAAGTATGACATTAAATTAGTTCAGATGAAAGTCACTTAGTATCTGGATGACATCAACAAAAGGCATTAGTTGGTAGTGGTCAACTGCATCAACTGGGATATGTAATCTTTCAGATTACAAACAGTCTTGGTATCAGGAGAGCGCGTAAATCTCATCCACCGCTTTTAGACTCCTCCTTAGACCCTAAATCAAAATCTGTGTTGGTATCAGGAAAACATGAAAATACTACCTGCGGTTGCGCACACGTTGTATAGGGAGAACATGACACGTTCATTGCTATTTTTCACGCCAATCACTTTAGATAACAATCAGTTTGCTATCAAGAGATTGTATAAAAACACCACCTGATAGTTCTGCACTCCTGGCACTCTCGGTTTCATACGGACATGAGAAATTGATGAGGCGTTTTTTATACTTCAACTTTTACTCTAACGCTTCAGCTAACATAAGAATTAGTTTTTAGACCAGGAAAACACGAAAAACCACCTGACCCCTTTGCACTGCCGAGACAATTAATTTCTTTTTGTTTGGTATCCGGAGAGCATGAGACATTAACTGGCCTCTTTCAGTTCTGTCACATCAACATGTTGCAGATAAAAATCATAAAAACACGCCAGTAGGACACTCACCAGTTCATATACGAACTTTTTTTTGGTATCAGGAAAACATGTAAATATCAACTAAAATTTCAGTACTTCTGTCACAATTGAGGGACATGTTTCGGGAAATCACGAGATGTTAATTAGCATTGTTCAGTTCTACTACCTTAATTGAGAGAGAGCTTCAAATACCAACTGCGAATTATGATTCATATAAATTACCTTTTGATATCAGGAGAACATAAAACCACAATTCTCAACTTTGGATCTTCTAGCACAATTTTTAGTGATCTTAGTATCACGCTTTCTGTGGGATGAGGTAACACTGATTTATGAAGTAAGAGTTGTACTGATATCAAATATCAGGAGAACATTAAAAGTTCTCCTCAACTTCTGTACTTCTGAGAAGTAATTTCTACTGGCATTAGAAGGACTTGGCATTTTTTAACTCTTCTATCCATACTGAGACTACTCCTGATATAAATCTCTGGTTAGACATCAGGAGAGTATGAAGATATCACTGGTCACTTCTGCATTTTTGTTACCGTTCGTTGCAACTATGGTCTTAGTTTGGGAAAGACATACAAGACTCCGGTTGGGGTTTTTAATACACACCTGTTTTGACACTAGGAGTATAAAATAGTCCCCTGCTATTTCTACGCGTCAGGCACAATTCATTGCTGTTAAATTCTTGCTATCAGGAGTATCAGGTATTAATCGTAAATGTTTGCTCTACTACCTTAACTGCGACCTTCTCTGCTTAAGATACAAACCATTTTCGCTATCAGGAAAACATGAAAGCACCACAAACAACTTAGATTTAATAATAGGAGCGTATAAGACACGGGTTGTCGGGCCATCAATTCAAAATCATTTCTAATTGTTTCGATACAAATCGGTGTGAGTATCACGAGAACACGAAAACACCACGTGCATTTACTGTACTCCTGATTCAATTAATATTTGAGTATGAGCATGACGTCAATTGTTATTTAATTTTACTACCTGAAGTGCGTGATAAAATTCAATTTTTGTGTCAGGAGGCTATGTAAAGCACAAGTCTTTGTATCAGGAGAACATAAAGCATTCATTGGCGCTTCTCTACCCTACTTCTCCACCCGGAACACATCTTGCTTCAGATTAAAAATTAGTTAACAGGAGATCATGAGATCGTCTACCGCTTTTGCACTTCGGGAACGCTTGATTTGTGCTTAAGTCTTGGTGTTTTGTGGAAATTAGGAAATAATTCATATTTTTCTACTCTTATGCTCCAACGACATCTTTTTGATCACCTCCTCTTGGAATATCAGGAGAATATGAAAAAACCGTGTGCAACTTTTGCACTTCTGACACAATTAAATTGCTCCTAAAGCTTCTGATACAAATCTTAGTTTTAGAAGAATGTGAAAAAACCACCTGCCACTTCTGCATTCCTTATACAATCAGTTACCACTTAAGTCTATTGTCTTGAAGGCGTTTCTCTACACTTATTACTTACAAACTTATATCTTATAATGCGTCATATTCAGATAAGTTTCGTTATCAGGAGAACACGCCAAATTGCACCAGCCGGTTGTGCACGCTTGATCCAACTACTTTTTGATGATTTGTGGTATTCCAGAGGCGCTTATGACACGCTATTTATAGCAAAGTATATGGGGTAGAGGCAATAATAGCCATTTTTTAACTCGGAATTGTAATGCGACAAATAAAAACAGTTTTGGTATCAGGAGAACGTGAAAACCACAGTATTGTACAGGTCAAAGTTCTCCAACTCTCTATCTCTGTCACAGTTTGTGATAAAGGTTTGGTATTAGGAGAACATGAGAAATTAATACCATTTAACATTACCATCTCAAAAGTCAAATGAGACTTTTAATGCTTCTTGTACAAATCAGTGTTGATATCAGGAGAACATGAACATTTACCCTCTGGTTTTCTATTTGATTTTTCCGAAACCATTAGCAGTTTCATCTTTACAAAGTAAATATAGACTTCCAATCCGACCCACACAAATCAGCTTTCGTAACAGGAGGACGTAAAAAAATCACTGCAGGTTCTGCGCTTCTGATCGAAATAATTATTGCTAAAGTCCAGAGAAGCGGGATTTTTGCCGAAGTTTCGGATCAGGAGAACATGGAACCTTACTACATCAGCCGAGGCTGCTTCAGGTAGAACTTATAGCTGGTATCAGGAAAACATAAAAACACAAACCACACCTTCTATATTTCTGACATAATCTCGGCTTTAGTTTTTGTATCAGGAGAATACGTTAATCTCATTTTCAACACTGCTACTTCCCTTACTATGCTAATCAGTGCTGGTATCAGTAGAACATGAAATTCCGGTTTTGTACTTCTAACAATTAATTTCTACTGAGCTTCTAGCTTTAGCAGGACACTCGACACGCTTTAGATTTACTAGTCACCTTTGATGCTTCCGATTTTAAGTGTACAAATAATTCCTTCGATATAAATCAGTTTTGGTATCAGGCGGTCATGAAAACGCCACACACTGCAGGTTCTGCGGTTCTGATGACAGCAATTTTTCCTGATGCTTTGGTATCAGGCGGACATGACGTATTAACTGGCATTTTACATATTTACTCTACTCCGTCAGATATAACCCGCTTTGAGATCAGGAGAACATGAAAACGCCTGAGCATTTCTGGATGAGACATTAATTGGCAATTTTTTAATTCTCAAATATTATGTTGTTTTGCCGGACCAAAGTGTGTTTCAGTAACAGGAGAACATTGTAATAAATATTGTATATCATAATTAATCTGTGCTGAGGTCTTGGTACTAGCAGAACATGACAATATTAGACAGTGTTTTCTCTGCTACTACGTCAAATGATACCTCTAACGCTTCCTGCATAAGACAGTTTGAGGATCAGGAGCATATGAAAATTCTCACAACGCTTATCATGCAATGGCACAGTTCCTAAATCCAGATTTTCAACTCCACTACTCAAACTGGTACTTCTAAGGCCTCTGATACTTTGGTATATTGCAGTGAAGTATTCGTACCAGGAGAGCATGACAACGCCGTCTGGTTCTTTTGAAATTTTGTTACAATTCATTTTTGCCGATGCATTTGTATTAGGAGGGAGGGCATTTTTCAGCTGTCACGTTAACTGATACTTGAATAGTTTTAATATTCATAAACCTTGGTAACAGGAGAATATCAAAATATCAACTGCCGGTTCTGCATTTTTGATATAATTAAATGTATGCTAAGGATGGTATGACACCATAACAGCGAGACTGCAGTACTTCAAAACGGGCGACTTCGGGACTTCTGTCGAAAGTACCAGGAGTACATGAATACACCACGTGTAGCTCCTGTACTTCTGATTCTATTGATCAGGAAGACAGGAAGGATACTATTACTACAACTGGGACCTCTTATGCTTTTGGTAGAAGACCGCATTGAGAATTATCAGGAGAACATCAAAATGTGACCTGCCGCTTTTGTACATCAGCCACAAATATTTGATGTCTGCGCGGGTGAGGAGGGAGGGAGGGGTTAGGGTATAAATCGACTAATGATAATCACACGGGGTGTTACAGATATGAATAATGTTTTGAATCAGGAGACCATGATTATGTAATGTGCTTAATTATCCAGTTTCATTTTTGTGAGACAGTAATGTCCACAGAGATTTTCCAGCGAGCATACTGTATACGTTCGGGAATTGAAGTGTTGGGAAAAAACCGGCGATCATAAATGAAATAAATTTCGACGTACGTCGCACTTGACAGGTCCAAATGAGGTGCCCTTTCTGATACATTCGATTTATTTAATGTATATGTTGTGTAAAATTTCATTTTTGGCATTTTCCTGTCGGCAGATCACGTTCAGCTGACACGGAATTATGTTTCGCCCCAAGTGGCGTGCCAACATTTTGATATGAGATACGTCGGATGTTTTCGTGTAACAAAATTTGCAGGATTCGCTCGAATAATTTCATCCGAAAGTTCGGCCCCAAAAAACTTGGGATATTATTTGTAGTCCGCTAACTTTCATCAATAACATTTTTCAAACGTCAACTTCTGTATTGATCTCCCGAGCTTTGATGGAAGTTTAAAGTGAAAACCGATAAAAAAAGTAATTTAAGTACAAATCGACACCATCGCATTACGAAACAGGTGCACATTTCCAGCCCACCCACTCGGCGCCCCCGACAGAAATGACTATACTCACTTGCAAGGATCCCAGACTACGACTCCCAGCCCGGGACAATCAAATTCGTCTATAATCTCGCACTCCCTTCTGTCACAAACACACGTCGGAACGGTAAAGCACCAGCAGGAGGCAATCGAAATTAAAAACACGAACACTAACCCGCTCATAATTCAATTGTTTCCCGTTTCACATTTCTCGAACCTGTCCGAAAAAACACTCACCCCCTTACTCCATCATTCCCCCCCCCCCTTTCACGACAAAACCGAGTTAAGGTACAATTTTATCCGAGATAAGAGCTATTCATTGTCATAATTTTGCCAAATTCCAAAGTTGGAAAAACTAAGGCCGTAAATTCGCGGCGACGTATTTATAGCTTATTAAAGTTGAAAGTTGCTTATGTAAGAAAATTTATAATCGCCGGGGGTTTCTGGAGGCAACACCGAAAAGTACAAGGCGCCCCTAATTTATCGCCCGAGAAAGTTTGGATTGTATTAATTCGGGGAATTTAAAGCTACGATTGCGGCGCGAGAGAAAAAAAAAGGAATGGATGTTTCTGGCGTCAATCGACACGTGTTGCGCGCACGTAAACCGACACCCTTCCCTCGCAAGGGTAACAGTACGAATGCGGAAAGTGCGAGTACGCGAAAGACGGAAACGTTTCCCAGACGGCGACGCTTGCGCCCCTACGCGGTTCCGTCCAAAAATTTCGAGAAATGTTAATTATTGAGGTATTTAGACGTTATAAACTAATACGTTAGGCAATGAGGGCGAATGGGGCGCCGAGTGCTTTGGCTTTGGTATACGCAAATTGTTGTAATTAGACGCTATTTTGCCACATCCCTTATATTATGTGTCACTTTGTATCGCTGTACTGTTGGAGTACACCGGCGACTGTCAATCAACAATCAGTTTATATCTAAGCGCTATTATGCGCCATTAGGGTTAACTTTGTCAGTATATTGTGCGCCACTTTGCGTTGTTAGCGATTGAATGACCTGCAATATGACGTAGGAACGGTTTGGGCCCGTCGACACTTACTACACCCCCTGCAGTAATAGCACCCGATTCATGCGCCACCTGGCGCAATCAACCTTTTAACCGAGAACTGCCAAACGCATTCCTGAGGAACCTGAAGAATCGAAAGAAGGATCTTAAGGATCAGAAGGGTCTGAAAGATCTCAAGGGTCTAAAGTAACTGAAGGATTGGAAGATTTCAAGGATCCGAAAGAACTGCAGGATCCGAAGGATCAGAAGAATCCGAAAAACCCGAAGGATATAAAGCATTCGAAGGATGTAAAGGTCTCAAGGATTTAAAGAATCTGCAAGGTCGGAAAGTAAAAGATCTTAAGGATCTTAAGATCAAGAATCTCAAAGGATCTCAACGATCTGAAAGGTCTAAAGGATCTGCGGGGTCTGAACCATCTCAAGGGTCTGAAAGACTTCTAGGATATGAAGATTTCAAGGATCAAAGTGATCTGAAGTACTAAAGGATCTGAAGTAGCTGGGGGATCTAAAAGATCTGCAGGATCAGAAGAATGCGAAACACCCAAAGGATATAAAGCGTTATAAAGCGTTCGAAGGGTCCAAAGGTCTCTCAAGGATCATCTGCAAGGTCTGGAGAATCTCAAGGATCTCAACGACCTGAAAGGTCTAAAGGATCTGCGGGATCTGAAGATCTCTGAAAGATCTTAAGAATATGATGGATCTAAAGGGTCTCAAGGATCTCAATAATTGAAGGATTTGACTGGTCCGAAGAATCTGCAAGGTCTGAAGAATCTCAACGATATCTTAAAGATCTTAAGGATATGACGGATCTGAAGGGTCTCAAGGATTTCACGAATCTCAAGAGTATGAAGGATCTGCGGGATTTCTAGGATCTGAAGGGTTTGAGAGATCTGAAGGATCTAAAGTAAAGAACTGCAGGATTTAAAAGTTCTGCAGGATCTGAAGAATCTGAAGGATCGGAAGGATTAGCAGAATCCGAAGAGCCCGAAAGCATTCGAAGAATCTCTAGGATCTATAGAATTTGCAAGATCTGAAAGATCTTAAATATCTGATGGATCCGAATGGTCTTAAGGATCTCAAGAATCGCAAGGATCTCAATGATCGGAGAGGTCTAAAGCATCTGCGGGACCTAAAACATCTCAAAAATCTCTAGGGCCTGAAGGATCTCTGAAGGTCTCAAGGATCATGACGATCGGAAAGTTCTAAAGGATCCGCCGGATCTGAAGAGTCTAAAGGATCGCTGGCATTTGAAGATCTCAGGGAACTAAGGGATCCGAAAAAAACTGAAAGATCTGCTGTATCTCAAAGATCTGCAGGATCTGAAGAATCGGATGAATTGGATGGATCAGGAGAAGAATCCTACGGATATGAAGCATTCAAAGGACCCGAAGGATCTGAGGATCTAAAAAATTTGAAAGATCAAGGATTTCAAGGTTCTCTAAATGATCTGATGGATCTCAATTGTCGGAAGGATCGGAAGGAACTGATGGATGTGTGAAGGTTCTGAATGGTCTGAAGGATCTGAAGAAACTGCAAGCTCTTAATGATCTCAACGATATCTCAAGGATATGATGGATCTGAAGGGTCTCAAGGATCTCAAGAATCTAAGGGATCTGAAGGTCTCAAGGATCTAAGGGTTCTGAAGGATTTGCAAGGATCACAACGATCGAAAAGTTCTAAAGGATCTGAAGAATCTGCTGGATCTGAAGAGTAAAGGATCACTGGCATTTGAAGATCTAAGGGATCTGAAAGAAACTGCAAGACCTGAAAGATCTGCAGTATCTCAAAGACCTGAAGAATCTGAAGGATCGGAAGGATCCGAAGAACCCGAAAGATTTAAAGCATTCGAAAGATCAAGGGTCTATAGAATCTGCAAGGTCTGAAGGAATCTCAAGGACCTCAACGATCGGAGACGTCTAAAGGATCTGCAAGACCTGAAGCATCTCAAAAATCGATTGGGCTTGAAGGATCTCTAGGGTCTGAAGATCTCAAAGATCGGAAGGATTTGAGGGACCTGAAGCATCCCCAGGATCTCAAGTGTCTAAAGGATCGCTGGCATCCGAAGATCTCAAGGTTCGAATTTGAAGTGTCTGAAGGATCTAAATATCCAAAGAATCCAAGGAATCCAAAAGATGGAAAGGTTCTGAAGAATCCGGAGAATTATAAGAATCCACATAACCCAAAGAATATGAAGAATCTGAATAAAGCGAATCATCCGATACGAATAATCCGAAGAACCGGAAAAATACAAAGAAGAAGAATGTGAAGATTCAGATCAGTTCGAAGAAATCCGATTAACCCTACGCGTCCGAGGTATCCGAATCACCGAATATAGTTCTTTGGAGATAACGCAAATAGAGCAGACACCCCTACTGAGTCCAATGGATCAGTAGAATTCAAAGAATCGTGATTCCTTGTGCTAAACGAGTCGGACTAGCTACTTAATTAGTTAGCTAATTAGCGCCATTTTAAAGCGTATCGAATCTGTAAAATTCGCTAACTTTATTTAAAAACTCAGCCACGCTGTTACGAGAACGGAGGTCCATAAGGGAAGAACTGCGTTTTCAACTAAACAAATATGGTTGAACGCCTCAAAAATTACGCGTAAAAATATGTAACCGCTCCTTAACCGTCGCGAAACCAGCAGCTTCGCCTTCCATACGACCATAAGACAAACTCCTTCTTCAGGAATTTTCAAATAAATCGCCAATCACAATGGAACGCGCCACAACGTCGCCACTTCTCGAAATTCTTTGTAACATTCGCGAAAGAACGCGTGCGTTAATTAAATTTCGCCTAGCAATAAAACTCCTTATCGCAAACCCTTTATAAATCAAGCAAATTTGACCAGACGTGTGTCTCACTTCCAACACTACACAGCGATACAATTAAAACGAAACAATTATCCATTTAAGAAGATTTCTAAACGGAAAAACAAATACGGAAATCCAAATTCAAGTAAAACAAACCAACTTTGTGTTTATTCGGAAATAATTCACCAGATTTGCACACAAAAATTGAAATTATATGTGGGCAACCTGACCGTAAACATATAATAACGCGATAGGAGATTTCCACATCATGAAATGTTACACCGCAATATACGATGAATCCAAGGGATTCAATAATGCGAGGAATGTGAAGAATTAGAAGAATCCGTACAATACAAACAATCGAACAGAATACGCAAAGAACCCAAGGAAATCGAGGTAATCGAATGATACGAAGAATCCGAATTAACCGAAGGATCCCGGGAATATGGAAAATTCAGTCCGAAAGTCAGAAAAATAGAACAAATCAGAAAAATTCGATGTAGCTGAGGAATACGAGGAAATCGCGATACTCAAAGATCCGAAGAAATAATGCAAAGTATCGGAAGAACTCGAAACCCCGAGGTATCCGAGCGATAGGCGCAACCTGATGAATCTAAAGAATCGCGCCCGGAGAATACGAAGAATCCCGAAGGGTCCAAAGCATCCGAAGAGATTTGGATACCGCAAAAGTGCGAAATTCTAAACGTCAATCGATACCACTTCACCGATATTGTTATCTTCTATAAGATCGACACTTTATTGCCATGTAATGATGAGACAGCAGTTTGATGTGCAAATATAACTGAGGCGTTTTACTTTGCTCGCCAGTTATCAATTGCAATGCCCGAAGCAACGACAGCGTTCAATTGTAGAGGGGTGGGGTACACCTACTACGAACTGATGGAGAGAAACCGGAACAAAATCGCACAGGTAACCTTTCCAAAGTGATTAATTAGGTTGACGCAATCACCGGCAAAGAGCAGACGTACGGCGAGCTTCTGCAGCGTTCCATTGGAGCTGCCATAGCGATGGAGAGTGAGGGATTAAACTCTGGCGATTTTGTCTCCATTTGCTCACTGAACCATCTCGATGTGTGTGTACCGTACCTAGCCTCACTGTTTACTGGTGTGATATGTGCTACTGTCGAACCTACCATGTTGGCCCAGGAATTGGTCTACTTGCTGAACCAGGTCGGGCCCAAGATAATATTTGTTGGCGAGGAAAGGTTGTGGAGGATCTCACAACCAAGCCACTCGTTGTGGTTTCCATACCCCCCAGTGCTATATTTTCCCCCAAAACGTTTAATACTCTTTCTACTTAACACCATTTTTGAAAATTGTCCTTATGGATGAATGTTTTGAGGAAGAACATACCACCGGGGGGTCTGAACATTATGGAATACCCCTCAGCATACGAAGGTTTTATAACGAAATGATCATTAAGTCTCTCTCCTTCTCCTGGCGGGTATTCCATACCCCCTAGACCCCCCGGTACTATATTTCCCCCCAAAACGTTTAATACTCTTTCTAATTAACACCATTTTTGAAAATGGTCCTTATGGATGAATGTTTTGAGGAAGAACATACCACCGGGGGTTCTGAACATTATGGAATACCCCCCAGCATACGAAGGTTTTATAACGAAATGATCATTAAGTCTCTCTCCTTCTCCTGGCGGGTATTCCATACCCCCCCCAGACCCCCCGGTACTATATTTCCCCCAAAACGTTTAATACTCTTTCTACTTAACACCATTTTTGAAAATGGTCCTTATGGATGAATGTTTTGAGGAAGAACATACCACCGGGGGGTCTGAACATTATGGAATACCCCTCAGCATACGAAGGTTTTGTAACGAAATGATCATTAAGTCTCTCTCCTTCTCCTGGCGGGTATTCCATACCCCCCAGACCCCCCGGTACTATATTTCCCCCCAAACGTTTAATACTCTTTCTATTTAATACCATTTTTGGAAATGGTCCTTATGGGTGAACGTCTTGAGAGAGAACATACCACCGGGTGGTCTGAACATTATGGAAACCCCCCCAGCATACGAAGGTTTTTTAACGAAATGAACATTAAGTCTCTCTCCTTCTCCTGGAGGGTATTCCATACCCCCCCCCCCCCCCCCCCCGGTACTATATTTCCCCCAAAACGTTTAATACTCTTTCTACTTAACACCATTTTTGAAAATGGTCCTTATGGATGAATGTTTTGAGGAAGAACATACCACCGGGGGGTCTGAACATTATGGAATACCCCTCAGCATACGAAGGTTTTGTAACGAAATGATCATTAAGTCTCTCTCCTTCTCCTGGCGGGTATTCCATACCCCCCAGACCCCCCGGTACTATATTTCCCCCCAAACGTTTAATACTCTTTCTATTTAATACCATTTTTGGAAATGGTCCTTATGGGTGAACGTCTTGAGAGAGAACATACCACCGGGGGGCAGGGCCGCATTTAGCCATTCAGCGCCCCTAGGCCTACAAACTAAAGAGCGCCCCCTACCTCCGCACTCTTATCGCACCCCATACACGTCCAGTTGTAAATAAATTATTCTTGATATTGTCAAAATTGTATTTGATTTGGATGGTGTATAGAATAACGAAAATATGAACTCCAAAATAGTACACAAACACAATACATTTATGATAGATAATATTCACAAATTCTGACCATTTATTAAAAACCAGAAATAATTACATCCTGGTTCATCATGTAGAAAAAACAAAGTAACAAGTACAACTGGTGCAAGCTATTGCCTCGGAACAAAGCGCCCCGCTGGACAAGTTCAATTATTCGCTAAAAGGGGAGTATGTTTGCATATGACCCTTGGCCGCCGGTGCCCGCAACGTAGCAGGAAGATGGTCTGCATGACCACGAGGATTGCGTTGCGCCCTATTACGCTTACGAATAAGTCAACGATTACGGACACGATAAGCGACGCTAGCAAATTGAACTTTACCTAAAGCGCATTCTTTCTTTTGTACCCCTTCCAATTTAGCGCCCCCTAAAAATTTGCGCCCTAGGCCTGGGCCTAGTTGGCCTAATGGGAAATGCGGTACTGCCGGGGGGTCTGAACATTATGGAATACCCCTCAGCATACGAAGGTTTTGTAACGAAATGAACATTAAGTCTCTCTCCTTCTCCTGAGGGGTATTCTATACCCCCCAGTGCTATATTTCCCCCCAAAACGTTTAATACTCTTTCTACTTAACACCATTTTTGAAAATGGTACTTCTGGATGAACGTTTTGAGGGAGAACATACCACCGGGGGTTCTGAACATTATGGAAAACCCCCCAGCATACGAAGGTTTTATAACGAAATGAACATTAAGCCTCTCGTCTTCTCCTGGAGGGTATTCCATACCCCCCAGACCCCCCGGTACTATATTTCCCCCAAAACGTTTAATACTCTTTCTACTTAACACCATTTTTGAAAATGGTCCTTATGGATGAATGTTTTGAGGAAGAACATACCACCGGGGGGTCTGAACATTATGGAATACCCCTCAGCATACGAAGGTTTTGTAACGAAATGATCATTAAGTCTCTCTCCTTCTCCTGGCGGGTATTCCATACCCCCCAGACCCCCCGGTACTATATTTCCCCCCAAAACGTTTAATACTCTTTCTACTTAACACCATTTTCGAAAATGGTCCTTATGGATGAATGTTTTGAGGAAGAACATACCACCGGGGGGTCTGAACATTATGGAATACCCCTCAGCATACGAAGGTTTTGTAACGAAATGATCATTAAGTCTCTCTCCTTCTCCTGGCGGGTATTCCATACCCCCCAGACCCCCCGGTACTATATTTCCCCCCAAAACGTTTAATACTCTTTCTACTTAACACCATTTTCGAAAATGGTCCTTATTGATGAACGTTTTGAGGAAGAACATACCATCGGGGGGTCTGAACATTATGGAATACCCCCCAGCATACGAAGGTTTTGTAACGAAATGATCATTAAGTCTCTCTCCTTCTCCTGGCGGGTATTCCATACCCCCCAGACCCCCCGGTACTATATTTCCCCCCAAAACGTTTAATACTCTTGCTACTTAACACCATTTTTGAAAATGGTACTTCTGGATGAACGTTTTGAGGAAGAACATACCACCGGGGGGTCTGAACATTATGGAATACCCCCCAGCATACGAAGGTTTTATAACGAAATGAACATTAAGCCTCTCGTCTTCTCCTGGAGGGTATTCCATACCCCCCAGACCCCCCGGTACTATATTTCCCCCCAAAACGTTTAATACTCTTGCTACTTAACACCATTTTTGAAAATGGTACTTCTGGATGAACGTTTTGAGGAAGAACATACCACCGGGGGGTCTGATCATTATGGAATACCCCCCAGCATACGATGGTTTTATAACGAAATGAACATTAAGTCTCTCTCCTTCTTCTGGGGGGTATTCCATACCCCCCAGACCCCCGGTGCTATATTTCCCCCCAAAACGTTTAATACTCTTTCTATTTAACACCATTCTGGAAAATGGTCCTTATGGATGAACGTTTTAAGGGAGAAGATACCACCGGGGGGTCTGAAAATTATGGAAAACCCCCCAGCATACGAAGGTTTTATAACGAAATGAACATTAAGTCTCTCTCCTTCTCCCCCCGGTGCTATATTTTAACACCATTTTTAGAGATAGTCCTTATGGCTGAACGTTTTTGGAGAGAGCATACCAGGGGTATGGAATACTCCCCAGAAGAAGGAGAGATATTTAACTAAATCTATCTCCTTCTCCTGGCGGAGTATTTCATAGCCCTTTGTTGATAGTTCCTCCTTCAAACCGTTCAGCTTTCAGGATATTTTTGAATAATGCTTGGTTGTTAAACTAAGGGAAGCTACGAAGGTTTTATGATGAAATGAACATTAAATCTCTTTCTTTCTCCTGAGGGGTTGCATTTCCAGACACCCTCTCCTTTCCGCCGATATTTTCTCCCACACAAAGGATTCTTTTGAAAAATTCTACGGCTGCTAAAACTTTTTGAAGGGATACACGACCGAGGGAGTATTATACCCCCCAAGAAAGAAAGATTCAATGTTCATTGCCTACAACTATCCGCTAATTCTCTCCTAAAACAAGAGGTCTATGGAGCTAAGGTGCAAGAATGCTTTAGCAGAACGCATCTTTGTGCTTTGAAATTCCCTAAAGGATTTTTTGGGATATACAGCGACAAAGACTAACACCCCTAATATAATTACAAGGCCTCCGCGAGAATTTTGACCTTCCTGCACGAGATTTCTTGTAATTCGCTTTCAAGTTCGAGGGAAATGCCTTTAGACCAATCTATATTCACAGTGGTGCAGTCAACCTCAACCCTGACTTCAGACGCCTCCCAAAAGAGAGAGAGGCGTCTCAGGAAACCTATCAAAATCTGTTGGAGGTCACCGAGCCTCAACATACCAAACCACGCGTGTCTCTCCGCCGCTGAACAGAAGAGAGGTAAGTGGGCCAGGCTGTCCCAATTGGGCCAAACCACTCGAAGACATCCCCTGCCACAACCCGAACCCAGAGGAAGTCCAACTCCATTCTGGCGGACAAACGGGTAGGCGACACAGAAGGACAGAGGTCAGCTCAAGGTTGGTGTCAATAAGGCTGAAGCACCCTTCCCGAGGGGTAGTGGGTAGTGTTAGTGACAATAACTCAAATAAGTTTATCCCAAAATGGTACAAATGGTTTAGCCATTACAGGTGGGATTGTAAGAATTCCAAGAAGTGCAAGTTTAAGAGGAGTAAGAAAAGGTCTACGTTTGTTAGCGAATCGGATATCGTCAAATCTGTCGATCTGTCACTAACTCGGGAGAAGGAGATCAGAATCCTATACCACCACCCAGAACCGGTAGAGCAATCAGCGAAATATCTATCAGCAGTAGGACCTTTGGAATTAGGCTTGTTGACACCGGAATCACTAAGGAATGATGACTCATTCGAGGAAAATGGAGAAAAACAACAGTGGAAACTCGGAGACACATCCAAATTAAAGATGCTGAGGAAGGACTATCCAGTCATTGGAACCAAGCTGAAGCCCTGGAAAGTTCTCAAACGAAAAATTGCAAAATGGCAATGATTGAGGAGGAAAATGCGCTCATTGAAAATCGCACTTGGGACCTAGTTTCTAGGCCGGCTGATAAGAAGGTGATTGACTGTCGGTGAGTGTATAAGTCAAGTACAATGCCACGGTTTAGTGGAGCATGTCCATGGGCTACAACGTGAACGGATTGATTTCACTGAAACCTTCAGCCTTAGAGTGAGGTGGGACTCGCTGGGTTCTCTATTGAGTGTGTGTGCACGAGAAGAACTCAAAATGATTCAATTTAAAGTCAAAACCTGAAAGTTACGATGGACTGGCAGGATGTGTCAATTGAGAAAGAAGCATTTACGGACTACGCCAAGCTGCTAGGTGCCGGAATCAGACGTTCATCAATTTTATGAGTAAATGTGCTTCTTTGTGAACGAAACGGAAACTCGTTTCATAATAAATCAGGCTATCATTTTATCTTCGATAAGAACTTCACTTTATTGCTAAGTAATTGTGAGACAGCAGCGCGATGGTCTTTATATAAGTGAGGCGTTGTACTTTGCTCGTCAGTGTTCAACTAAAATGCCAGAAGCAACGCCAGCTCTTCAATCTAGAGGGGTGGGGTACACCTACTACCAGCTGATGGAGAGAAACCGGAACAAAATCGCCCAGGTAATTTTGAGGTGTCATTTGATGTACTTTAAAGTGGTTAATTAGGTTGATGCGCTTACCGGCGAGGAGCAGACGTACGGTGAGCTGTTGCAGCGTTGCATTGGAGCTGCTATAGCAATGGAGACTGAGGGGCTAAAACCCGGTGACTTTATCTCCATTTGTTCACTGAACCATCTCGACGTGTGTGTACCGTACCTAGCCTCACTGTTTACTGGTGTGATATGCGCTTCCGTCGAACCTACCATGTTGGCCCAGGAAATGGTCTACTTATTGAATCAAGTCGGGCCCAAGATAATATTTGTTGGTCAGGAGGCGGTTGATACTATACGAAATGTTGTGGATGATCTCCAAACCAAACCACTGGTTGTGGTTTTTGGAACTTGCGGAACGTACACTTCCTTCTCTGAGTTTATACATCGTCCCACAAAGGGATTTGCACCACGTGTACCAATGGATTTGAACGAAACTGCCTTAGTCCTCTTTAGCAGTGGAACAACTGGTCGGCCAAAGGCAATTTGCCATAGCCACAAATCTATGCTGGCTGATTATCAATACATGTAAGTAGAAACCTGGGATATACTCGCATGACCTCTATTTTTTTTAGAATGGGGAAAGGTCTTTCTTCCCTCGCCGGTTTTGCAACACCTTACTGGGTCACCTTCCACGTCATCCAGCTCGTATGCATCGTACATGGGCTGCGCAAAATTGTGTATCACCGCTTTGACGTTAGCAATCCGTGGCGAAATTTCGACTTTAAAATTGACGTATTGTGCCTAAATCCGTTACAGGCTCTCAGCTTTTTGGATCACGAGCCTCCCGATGGCGTGAACTTTCAGAATGTGACATACATGGCGTTTGGCGGCAACGATATATCGAAGGAGCAAGTTTTGAGGTTGCGCGAGAGGTTTCCGCTGACCAAGGTCCTGAACATGTACGGACAATCCGAACTCTTCGGAAGTCCGTTTATGTATCCCCTCCACACCAACTCATGGGAGTTGACGATGAAGTATCCGACGTGCGTCGGAATCATGAAGGATACGGTCTCTTGGAAGGTGACTAGCACCCAAAGTAACTGTTTCGTAACTTAAGCCCTTTTAGGTTGTCGACATTGAGACGGGGCAAACTTTGGGCCCCAATCAACAGGGCGAACTTCTAGTGAAAGCCGAACAACAATTCAAAAGCTACCACAATCGCGACTCGTCCGAAGCCTTCGACCACGAGGGATGGCTGAAGACCGGAGACCTGGTCTACTACAACGAGGAGATGTGCTTCTTCGTCGTGAACAGGATCAAAGAGAGCTTCAAGTATCAAGCCCATCACATCATACCGACCGAAATCGAGCACGTCCTCCTCACGCATCCTGCCATCGCGAAAGCCGTGGTCCTGGGTCTTCCGCACGAGACCGAAAACAACCACCCGATGGCGGTGATCCAGCTGCATCCGAAAGGGCCGCGCGTTTCCGAGGAAGAAATCGTGAGGTACGTCGAAGAGAGGGTCGCCGACAAGAACCGCCTCAGGGCGGGGGTAAAGTTTGTCAGCAACATTCCACTCACCGTTACGGATAAGGTCAACCGGTTTAAGCTAAGAGAAATGATAATAAATTATGGTATTTAGTATTAGAGTATTAGAGTGACTGATTCTCATCTAGGCAGTGACGCGAGACTACCGAGTGTTCACGTTTCCACGGCACAAAGAAGGTTCAGCATGTAATACAGGCCCTTCTTAAATAACTAAAGTGACGTTTTGAATCCAGAGCCTTCTGGGTGTCTATCTAGTTTTCTCCGTGCCGCAAGACTTGTAGTAGGTTTAAGGTTTTTATCTATACTTTTTTATGGAATAAAAAAAATTATTGAAGAGGAAGTTCAAAAAACGAAAAAATTCCAAAAACGACTCCAGTAACACCAAAAAAGCCACTGCATGTCTATGGGCATGTAGAAGGGATTTTGGTTGTACAGGGTGGCCAAATAAGAATGCGAGGTACTGTATCTGAAAATCTATCCATCGTAGAGGCTTGTGGTAAAAAAATTATTACTAAAACGGCCACGAGCAAAACCTGGAAAATATTTTTAAGTTTCTGAAATGGCCGCTAGGGGGCGTAACTGCAATCTGGAATCTAAAAAAGTGATTTTTCTGTGAATTCCGCCATATTAACCTAACAAAAAAATGTCCGGTCTTTGAAGACGACGATAATCTGAACCTTTTTTGTTTGTCAATTTTTCCTGTATCTCTAAAAATGAAGTGGTGGGGGGTATTCAAGGGTTTCCGTAAAGAACACCCTGTATCTCCGAAACGGCTGAGCCGATTTAAACAAACTCGGGTTAGTTCAAAAGAGCTATTCTTCAGCTACAAATATTATAATATTTGAAGTTTTGTTAGTTTCACATATCACCGCTTGAGGGCTTTTTTCGACATTCCGACAGAAATGGTTAATTTTCTCAAAAAAATTAAATGCATTGTTCAATTTTTTTTCACGAAAAAGTAGCTAAATGATGCCTAAACAAGCTCGCGAAAACAGCATCTCGATATATTGGTGTATATATATATATATATATATATATATATATATATATATATATATATATATATATATATATATATATATATATATATATATATTTTGGTAAATCGACGTTGACGCACCCAAATACAAATCGACGTACCGGCACCCGGCTTTTGAATGAGATAAAGCTACGTTCAGACACCTATATATGAGCAGAATCATATATGCGATGTGGCACCACCTATATATGAAGGTCAACTGTACAGTCGATTTCCGACCGCGCAGACCCTTTGTTTAGTGGAATGCGGTTGTAACAATAGGGGACCCCTACCTGTACTTACCCACATATTAAAAACACTTTTGGACGTTATTTAGTTTACTGAGCATACTTTCAGTTTGAGATTAAAATACATGCCCACCCGATGAATGACCGTGTATTTACTTTATTTTAGATACATTACCTAGTTCAATTTATTGGGGCCGCTGCATTAATTTGATAGAATTATTAAAATATTTTTTAATAGGAACTTGAATACGATATTTTTAACGTAACCTTCAGTTTCACCGCAGAATGGTATATAATTTCTTTTTCTCACGATGGTCATTTTGCAATTTGGAATTTTTCAATAAAGATTGCTTTTTATTAATGTCATTACCACCTACTAAGATTTTCTTTTACCAGGATAATTTATTCAAATAAAATAAGCGTGATATGTTCTAAATTTAACTAATTATCATTTAATTAGATGCATTTTTACAGTTTAATTAATAATAATCATTCCAAACCGGTTTTCCACATATTGGTTTATAAGTTATATAATAAGTAGGTAATTCACGCACGTGTTCCGTTTCCAAAACAATCTTTTGAAAACTAAATAACTTTAGTGGCCATAGTACTTTTGTATTAACTAGAAAATAAGTCTGTAAATAACCAAAAAAATAAAATTGACCATCGTAGGAAAAAGTACCTCCGCCATTCTGATGGCAAATTATAAATTGCGTTAAGCACACTATCACGTTGAAAATATTTTGCCCATTTAACAAACCCCATATATTCTGGAAAAAAGCTAGTTGCCCATCAATGATTAATGGTATCCCTTATTTTTTAAATATTAAAAAGGGCAACTGTTATCTCTTCTTTCGTCCGTCCGTTCGGACCCAGTTCTGCGGTTCTGAACTACGTTTAGGAGAATTGTCTTAGAGTAAAATTTGCAAAAAGTTCCTGTTTGAAGAAAGTTGCCTTGGTTGTCCATATTGGTTCGAACTATCGAGACGGCCTTTTTTATTTAAATCATCTAATTCATCCTCCAATCACATCTGATAAACAAGTTTAAAGGGATCGTTAGCAAACAACCTTGTTTATCCATCTTCCAGTACACGGATGGTATCTCTATGATTAAAAGCAATCATAAGAACTCTAAAAAATATATTTGCTGATTATTATATGTAACCTAAAAGGTTGTTCGATATTTATAAATAAAATTTACAAAAAGTTTCTTTTTGAAGAAAGTTACCTTGGTTGTCCATATTGGTTCAAACTATAGAGACGGCATTTTTGATTTAAAATCATCTAATTCCTTCTCTAATCACATATAAGAAACACCAAGCACGAAGAGATCTGAATCTGTGTTTTAGTCACTGTGTTT